TGCCATGTAGTCGACGTTCACATGACACCTCAAAGGGAATCACAACATACATATCATCAAAACATTGAACACATATCAAGTTCACATGATTACTTGCAACAAGATTTCTCCCGTGACCTCAAGAACAAAAGTAACTACTCACAAATGATAATCATGCTCAAGATCAGAGGGTATTAAATAGCATAATGGATCTGAACATATAATCTTCCATCAAACAAACCGTATAGTAATCAACTACAGGATGTAATCAACACTACTAGTCACCCGCAAGTACCAATCTAAGGTTCCGGTACAAAGTTGAACACAAGAGATGAACTAGGGGTTGAGAGGAGATGGTGCTGTTGAAGATGTTGATGGAGATTGCCTTCCCAAAGATGGGAGAGTTGTTGGTGATGATGATGAGGAGGATTTCTCCCTCCAGGAGGGAAGTTCCCCCAGCGGAATCGCTCCGCCGGAGGGCAAAAGTGCTCCTGCCCAACTTCCGCCTCGAGACGGCGGCGCTTCGTCCCGAAAGTCCCCTCTCGATTTTTTCTAGGTCAAAATGACCTATATACCAAAAGATGGGCACCAAAGGTGGGTCGAGGAGGGCACAACCCACCAGGGCGCGCCTGGGCTCCCTCGCGCGCCCAGGTGGGTTGTGCACACCTGGTGGGGCCCCTCCGGTAGTTATTTACTCCAATATTTTTCATATATTGCAAAATAATTCTCCATAAATTTTTAGCTCATTTGAAGATATGCGGAATAGGTAACTCTGACGTAGCTTTTCCAGGTCCAGAATTCCAGCTACCGGCATTCTCCCTCTTTGTGGAAACCTTGCATATTATGAGAGAAAAGGCATTAGAAATACTCCAAAAAACATTATTATGCATAAAAACATTATGAATAACAGTAGGAAATCATGATACAAAATGGACGTATCAAGCACTCCAAGCTTGCCTTTTGGCCGAGGAGGTTGAAGTTAAAAGCCTTAACACAATTATTTAGATTTAGACCAGAACATTATTTTAATAAAAACCAAACCGACCAAAAACCAATGAGTCCCGCAGAATCAGCCTGGAGGTTGTTATAAGCCCAGACCACAAGATGACTAAATTATCCATGCTAGCATCTCGTAGGTCGAACGACGAGTCCCACAAAATTGTCCTTAAGTGTGTCAACCCACACCGCAAGATAGCTAAACTTTCCATCCCGGCATCTCGCGGGTCAGCCGATTGGTCACATAGACCCGACGTGGAGGCTGTTAAGGCTAACAAGACGGCTAAATTATTTCCATGTCGGCATCTGACAGGTTGATTGACAAATCCTACAAAACTGGCATGTGGACTACTTATGCCCGAACACTACTGCTCAGTTGAGGTAGTTCCCAAGAGGATTCGATCCTGCAACACAACATCTTCTCTGCCAAGCTGCACCTTGGTGATGACAAAAGGCACAAGTGCTAAAAGTGCTATAAGGTTCTAGGTGCATAACAGATTTTGAGCTGGTACACACCTTGATGCCTTCTTATGCCAAAACACCATACTCGGTTGAGCTAGTTCTCGAGGAGATGCAATCCTCACGTCGGCCATGTCCTAAAGTGCTATAAGGTTCTAGGTGCATAACGGATTTTGAGCTGGTACACACCTTGAGGCCTTCTTGTGCCAAAACACCGTACTCGGTTGAGCTAGTTCTCGAGGAGATGCGATCCTCACGTCGGCCATGTTGCCCGACGCGAGTCTCGAGGCTACTGCATTGACGATTCAATGTAGGAAATTCAAAGCGCAATATGCTTTCTGAGGAGATTTTGATCCTCAGGTCGACCACTCGCGCTCGACCCGAGTCTCTGAGGCTACTACACATCGCAGATTTTTCCTAAAGTATGCTAGGAAGCAAGAATTCGATCCTCAAGTCGACTTTTGCGAATCGACTGAGTCTCGTGGGCTACTGGGATCAACCGTTTAATTTTATCCTTCAAGTGCATACTGGATTTTAAGCCGACACACGCCTTGAGGGCTAATAGCTATATGTCTCGACGGAGAATAAATTGCACCAACCGAAAAAATTATGCAAAAAATCAGCTCACAGAAACTGGCTTAGCAGGTTTTTTTTTCGTGGAGGCCGTCCATCTTCATCGACAACTCAAGACCGAGGTAGTGTGCACCACTTCAAAAGTAATCCGGCTTGGAGGCCGGCTGCGAGCAGTTGGCTGGGGGGGGGGCTTTTTCGACGTGCAGCTCGATCATACTCCTCCAATATTTTCAGAGACCGAGGTGGTTTTAGTAACCTCATATGCAGTCCAACATCGTAGCTTGGGTGCAATAATACACTGATTGGGGGAAGTTCTCGTTGAACCAGTTTCAAGACCGACAATTAAAGATGAAGACCAGTTCAAATGAGTCGAGGTCCGACCAGACTTGAAGACCGGTTCAGGGGATATCGACGGTGCCACATCTAGGGGGCCTCTCACCATGTCGACTCCCGGCCTCATGGACGGGGTCGAGGACACCTAGGTCGGTTCCATCCGGGGCCACTTTTGGGCGTCCCATGGCGATCTACAAGTAGTCCCGCTGTACAAGAAAATGACTCATCCGTGGAAGAGTCCTCTCCACCAATATAGCCGACTAGGACTCTTGTAATTCCAGGCCTCCGGCAACTTATTTAAACTGGGGTTGCACTAGTCGATCAAATACATCTAGACAGACAACAATCACAGGGTAGGGTAGATCATCTATACTCCAATCCAAATAAATAAACACAAGCATGCTGTAGAATTTTATTTCTTCGGAGAGCCTGAACCTGGGAAAAACTTGTGTACTTGTTACTGTAATGTCCGATCGTCTAGCTCGGGATCCTACTCCGAGATCTGTCGGATTTAGCTCCGTCAGCGGCAACCCTGCCCCAGAGTTCCACGATGACGACGACGGAGGAAGAGAGTGGGGGCGGAGGCGGGGAACCCTAGGAAAAAGTTGGACACATGGATGAGTTGGATAGAGAGAGGGGGAGGTGAATTATGTGTGGTACGAACTAGTGAGATTTGTTTTTTAGTGTGAGGGAGGCAAAACTAAACCGTATGTATCGGACTATTGACACTCCTTTGACAGTGGAGATTTGTAAAGAGATAAATACACTCACGATCATTAAAGTTGAGTCCGAAGCACAGTACAGTCACTGTACTTTAGAATACGCTCGTTACGGTCATCATATATGTTTTACATTGATTATACGGTCACTGGTTTTTCGTATAGCTGTGTATTTTGATCTGTTGACCGGTCAACTCCGGTCAATGTGGCAATCTGTTGACTGTTGTTTTCTCTCTGCCATACGGGTCCCACATATCAGTCAAACAGAAGAAATAAATAAAATGAAAATTTTGTGTGTTGGAGAGGAATAGAACATGAGACCTCGGGATTACGGAAATCGCTCAGAAACCAACTCGACCGACGCTAGCTTGTGTTGCACATACGACTGTCAAGCATATTATAGTCGTACGACGTGTTGTGTCTGTGTTATTTGTTAAATTGTGTTTTTTCGTTTGTGCTATATAGCTCTGTGAGTGTATGCGTGTTAGTGTTTTTTGTCTGTGTTTTATTTGTGCCGTGCGGTTGTCAATTATTTTTCCAAAAAAAAAGTTCTTGAATTCGAAATTGCTTGTGAATCTAAAATTTTGTTCCCAAAATAGGAGCAAAATTCAAAACCAGGAACACATGCACACAAATTGTGCACGAATTGCACAAAAAAATTTCCAACTTTCAAACAGGAATACATGTGCACGTATTGGACGCGAATTTAAAAATAATAGAAAATGTCAAAAGATATTCCTGAAATTTCAGAAAATATTTAGAATTTTAATATTGAAAAAATAATGAGATAAACAAGAATATAAAAATAAAATCGAACGACAAAATATATAAAAAGAAAAGGCGGTTGAAGAAAAGCGTGAAAACATGAAATGGGCCGGCCCATATCTGGGCGAGCTCGCACATGAGAAATGCGAAATGTATGTGTTCGTTATAATAATAAAATTGTGGTTCCCTTACATAACGCGCATTGTTCTTAGCTCAGTTGGTTGATGCGCGAGACTTGCCGCCAAGTGATCGCAGGTTCGATTCCCCGTTCTTCTCGCGTTTTGCCCATTATATATTTTATTCTTTCTTCCTCCACTTACAGGCGGGACCTACAAGTCAGAAAAAAAATGCAATGCCGCGGCTGTACTAGATGTCACGTTGACCGGTCAACAGATCAAATACGGTGCTATATGGTGATCCAGTGACCGTATAATCACTGCAGAACGTATACAATGACCGTAACAAGCGTATTCTAAAGTACAGCGATCGTAGTGTGCTTCAGACTCAAATTGAGTGACCATGAATGTATTTATCTCATTTGTAAACCATGGATGAAAGTAAAGGGCGCGCTGAACGACAGTACGCTACAGCTGTGGCATGAAACGTGCCGTCGCAGCACATCTCAACTGCGAACGCATCGCACATCTCCCTGCCGCGACCGACCGTCACGGTAGTTAGACCCGTGTGCGCCGCAAGCTGCCAGCCTTCCCTAGAGTTTCCTATATCCTCTCTTTCCTCTCCGCTCTCGGGTTTCTTCACCATTAGATCCCACCGATTCCACGCTCCACTGATCCTGCTGGTCCGGCGGCTCGCCGCTACCGATTGAACACCCCAATTCGTGCCCCTCCATTCGGTCTAATTGGGAGGTTCTTTGGAAGCGCATCCACCCACGAATCGAGGTAATTGACTTATGCTCCACGCCCTGACATTGGTTTCTTGCGTAAAGGTTGGATCTTTCCTTGGATTAACTGGTTGGACCGGCTTGTTGTGGAGTGGGCGTCGTCATGGATGTGCCTGACCCGAATCTTGGTGTCCTTAGCTTGTCGCTCACTGGGGAAAGTTTTTCTTCAATCTGTGAACTGTTTGTTGTATCTAACCGTGTCAAATGTCGGCTTGCAGGATTGGAGCTTTCTTGCAGTTGCATTCAGGAATCATGAATAATTTGTTGCAAGACTGATGCGGGTGTTGAGGTAACTACTGGATGAATTTGTTATTATGGCCAATGCCCTGATTCTGCCCGGGGCTTATGAGCTTGCTGAATATCTGAAGTACAAGTAACCATGGATAGAAAAGTCGGAGTGGTTTTAGTCTGCCTGCTCTTCCTACTCATTGGGGAAGTTTCGGCGGTTGCCCAGACCGAGGTTGGTCATGTGCGTGTAACACAGGAGGCACCAGATCTGAAGCTAGAGGATGCTGGTAGACATGATGTGTCCCAAAGTGGAAGGGTGTCGGTGTATGTTGTTGCATGGTCGACGCTTGCGATGGCTGCAGCAACAGGGTTGGGAGCACTTCCCTTCTTTTTCCTGGAGCTAGAGGCCCAATGGGCAGGCCTTTGCAATGGGTTGGCAGCTGGGGTGATGTTGGCAGCAAGTTTTGATCTTGTGCAGGAAGGGCAGATGTACGGCAGTGGGAGTTGGGTTGTTTTGGGGATTTTGAGTGGAGGGATCTTTATTTGGCTTTGCAAGAAGGTAAATCTTGCTTCATACTCTTTGTCGTTTAGCGATATCATTGATCATTTACATCGACTGATTTATTGCCAGATATACAACCACAACTATTATAGTCGAAAGAAGTATTTAAGGCACCTATGATGTATGCTCTAGCTCAAGAAAAAACTTTAGTTTACTCCGAGATGGCTTTCTTCTGTCCAAGTATCTGTCAGCATGCTGATGGTTTAGCAGTATGAGCCCACTTACATAGTCTTGGATCCACAATTTTTGTAGCTGCCAGGGTTAAGTCTGAAGCGCAGGCAGTTGAAGGAAGTGCACTAGTCAAGTCAGCTGGATGTTTCAGTGAAAGAATTAAACAAAATCATTAGGTTTCATGATGAAGTGCCACGTCCAGCGGGCAGAACACATTAGTCTGCTCTGGCCGAAATTTGTTTATGTGGGCATTGTGCGAGCTGCTTAGATGCGGTTTGGTAGGAACTAGGGTTCTACCGGGTCTAGGGCGGAGTTTGTAGGGGAAGGAGGGAGGCGGATGAGCTCTTGACCGCGCGAGACGGCGCCGACTCGCCGGCGAGTCGGCGCCGTCTCGCGCGGTGGAGAGGCGGCGGTGATGGGAGGAGGCGGCGGCGCAGTTAGGGTTCCGGCTCCTCTCGGAGCCGGGCAATACAATTGTCTTATTGCTTAATTTTCCAAAGAGGTCTTACAGCTGTTTATATAATCTCGGTGCTAAATAAAAATAAGATAACTTGGGCTAAGCCCCTAACTAAACGTGCCCATTGGGCCTCCTCCGTCACGCCCAGCGCGTGGCACGCCAAGGCCTGGAAACGGTCGGCAAAGTCCTGCACCGTGGAGGTGAAGGGGAGGCGGCCGAGCTCCGCCAGCCGGCTCCCGCATATCGGCGGCCCGAAGCTAAGGAGGCATAGCTCGCGAAAGCGCTCCCATGGGGGCATGCCGCCCTCGTCCCGCTCGACGGCGTACTACCACGTCCGTGCAGTGCCCCGGAGGTGGTTAGAGGCGAGCCAGGTGCGGTCCGACGCTAGCGTGCATTGCCCCCGGAAGAACTGCTCACACTGGTTGAGCCAATTGAGTGGGTCCTCGGTGCCGTCGTAGGTGGCGAAGTCGATCTTGGCGAAGCGCGGCGGTGTTTGAGCATGACCGCCGTGGGTGTACGGTTCGGCGGTACAGAGCAGCGAGGAGGATGGCGCCGGGTCGGTGTACGCAGGGGATCGCCCGGGAAAAGGCGGACCGTCAAGGCCTGCGTAGGGGCCGGCGTTGCCGGAAGGCCCGGCGTATTGCAGGGTGGCCGCCGGCTGTTCCGCGGCCGTAGTGTAGACCGGCTGCGGCGATGACCCGCCCAACCAGGTCGGCAGCGGTGACGGTGAGGGCGGGAACCGGACCTGCTGGATCGGAACGCCCCCCGGCGCGGTTGTCGTTGGCCCGGTGCTGGGCGGCGGTGGCGCCTGCAGTTGCAGCGGCTGCTGCATGGGGGCGCCGGATGCGGCGGAAACCGCGATGGCCGGCGACGGCCATTGCGGCCAGAGCGGGGTGGAGGCGGGCGGCGGCTGCAGCGGCCCGACTAGCGCCACGGAGGCCGCCGGGTTCGGCGGATGCCACGGCAGGAGCGGCGACCTGGTGACGGCGGCGGGTGGCGCGGCCGGCGGCGGCCCGTAGGGGCCTGCCAGGTATAGGCGGATGCCCTGGAACCGTGGTGGCGAGATCGCGGAGGGCTCCCGAGACCTCCTCCGGGGTGAAGACAGCGGGGACCGGCGCGGCGTTGGTGATGGGTGCCGGCGGCTGGGGTGCGCTAGCCGAGGCGGACAGCGGATCGGTTGTGGCGGTGGATAGCGGGAGGGTGGGTGTGGGCGGCGGCGAAGACATGATCGGAACCGAGCTAGCTGGTACCAAAGTGGTAGGAACTAGGGTTCTACCGGGTCTAGGGCGGAGCTTGTAGGGGAAGGAGGGAGGCGGATGAGCTCTTGACTGTGGCGGCGTCTCACGCGGTGGCGAGGCAGCGGCGATGGGAGGAGGCTGCGGCGCAGTTAGGGTTCTGGCTCCTCTGGGAGCCGGGCAATAGAATTGTCTTATCGCTTAATTTTCCAAAGAGGTCTTACAGCTGTTTATATAATCTCGGTGCTAAATAAAAATAAGATAACTTGGTCTAAGCCCCTAACTAAACGTGCCCATTGGGCCTCCTCCGGCTATAAGTTACACCGGTCATAACACGGTTGGTATTCACAGCGTTTATTCCAGTTTGGTGGACATACCCACTTAAAGTGGTCAGCAGCATGCAGCTTCCTACGCGCGTCTCGTCTGATGTTTCTGTTGAGGGACGCTCAATGCTGGTCATTCCCACGTTTTGGCCACGCAGTTCGCGAACGGTAATACCTCCTGGCAGACCAAACTTTTTCGGTGGTGCTCACTCACCTCAAACGGGTGTAGAATGAGACCGTATTTTCCTTGAACCAGCCGATGAACATGCGTCGGCATGACCTTGTACAGCTCCGTTTCATCAACGTTGAGCATCAGCCTCTGTGCCGAGTGCATGCCCTTTATGGGCCCTGTACCGCTGGGAAGTGGTATGCTGCATACAGCTAATGTGGCAGGAAAGGAATGGCCACTGTAGCAGGAAAGGATGGACACGTATATGCAAAACCGTAAAGAGAGAGCTAGCTATATATATTCTCTGTAACTACAAGTCTACAACATGGTACTGTTAGTGTTTTTTTTTGACAGAAAGTGATAGGGAATATCTTTTTCAAAGGGTTTGTTAGTGTATGTTTGGTTGTACTGTTTGGTTGTACTGCAGCTAATGTTGAGTGCTCATATGCGGACTTACCAGCTAACATTGTGCCTCATGTAGCTCCACCGCAACCGCAAGTGCCCACTTAACTTAGCAGTTGCCCACAAAGAGCCACTTCGTGATTATTTTACTGGCGGGCTTGGCTTGGCGGGTCTATTGGCAGTGCTGCCATTTTCATGCCTAAGTAGGTTAATGTGAACATGGTACTCGTTATGTGTCTACACTACTAACTACCCTCGTGTAGGCTTATCTTGCTTTAAAAGAATTAGACTGCTGATAAGATTATTCTGGTTAACTGAGCTGAAACCTTAAATGTCAATGCATGGCTGATGTGCATGTTGCTGTGCCAGTTCAACGATCTGAATTGGCACTAGAATAAACTTGTTAACCGCATTTAGCATCATATCAGCTCAGGATGCTAGCTGTGTTTTCAGCATTAGCGAATATATTTTGTTCCATTCATTTTGGTTATATTTTCCTTTAGATGATACAGTATCTTTCATTTCGTTGATCACAGATTCTTGAGCAACATGGAGAAGTAAGTATGTTGGATATAAAAGGTGCAGATGCAAGTAAAGTTATTCTTGTTGTTGGAATAATGACACTCCATTCTTTTGGCGAGGGTTCTGGTGTTGGTGTTTCCTTTGTTGGGTCAAAAGGATTATCTCAAGGTCTTTTAGTTACTGTAGCTATAGCAGTGCACAACATACCTGAAGGCCTGGCTGTAAGCATGGTACTATCATCTAGGGGTGTCTCCCCACAAAAAGCAATGCTATGGAGTATCATAACATCTTTACCACAGGTGCGTTTTCTTTTGCTGTCATCGAGTGGAAATATGAAAGTATTATTTGATACACGCATCATCCTCATTCAGATATGGAACATTAATCAATTTTTAGCTATATTAATTCCTTGTTTCTTACTAGAAAAATAATACTGAATCGGATAATCGGTTTGGCTCCCAGGTCCAGATGAGGCTGGAATCTTCATTCTTATTGAGATTATTAACCGTAGCTGCATTCCAGTGCATATTCGTCCTTTTTACAAAAAAATTGAACAGTGGTAGACCTCATGTACCAGATATTAATACGGGCTGCTCCATTTCTTCTGTGTCAGTACAGACGGCAGTTTGATGCTCATTCACCGCGTAGTACTCACACCTGGACCGACGTGGTGGTTTGCCGTGAATGCCAGCAGGTTCCCTAGTAATTAAAAGACCCAACCAGCCTCCCAGCTAACACCTTCTTCCTCCCCTGAATCTGCCTATACCGAGTCCATGGTGTCTTCGTCCTTCAGCGTTCTAATCATATACACCTTGTTAGGACAAGCTGTGTGGTCTTTAGGGTGACTCCCCACTCTGCAAGAGCAAGTTGGACTCATCAACTGACAAGTGACATGACACTACTGCACTTGACTTTCATTATGCCACAATTGGTACCCACTTAATTTTTTGGCGCATGGTTCACAAAATCCCTGAAGTTAAAAACTGCAGTTTTGTTCTGTACTTCAGTGTGTGAGAACTCATCTAAACTCAAGTGGTTTCAGATTGCGGCCTAATTCATCTTCCCCTTGTATGGAATGGTACGTTTCAGAAATCTGTACAAGATAGGTGAACAATTCATCGACTGAAGCATTTGGAACATACTTCTTTTTCCACCTGGTCCATTTTCCCTGTCGTTTCTGCAGATACCGCCGGCTTGCTGTCTCCCGTCGATGAATCATTGCCAATCTATGCTCCTCCACACCTTTCTGTATCCCATCAAGGTCCTCGAGTTCTTCATGGTCCACCCAACCTTCACCTTCTGCAACTTCCTCGCAGATCCTGCCTGCCCACAAGGGCCAAGGCAAGTGTCGGGGAAGGTGCATGGCAACCCTGTAGGCTGTCGGCATCATCACGAACCGGAGAACCGTCCAATCTCTACATCACATCGCCAAATATTGGCAGGCTGCTAACACATGATGAGTCAAAAAGATTACATCCTAAACATAATCCAGGCACCATACACATCAAGGCACATACCTGTTGCCTAGACCTAGGGGAAACTCCATGGTAGCTGCATACCTGCATCAAGCTGGCAATCATGCTCATGGGTTCAGGCGCCCATGGGTGCATCCGACCCGAATGGGTAGTGTATGGGTCGTCAACTTCACCCACTGGTAACCCGATTAGTTGTGGGTAGGTATGTGCATAACTTCATACCTATGGGTAACCCGATTAACTATTCTTACTAATTATAAATATTTCATTTTATATAAGACGTATTTTTAGGAAAAATAGACACTATGTATACTCTATATAATGGGCAGTAAATCTGTACAATTATTTAAAGGCAAGCCAACAATGTACATCAAGTACGACGCAAAAAAGAAGTACAGCAAGTAGGCCAAAAAGTCCAAGACTAACACAACGTGTATGCATCTCTAGTCCTTTGCTCTTCCCTTCATCCACACAAATCAAGTTTCATGGGCCAAAAATTGCTCAGTCATCGGTCCATAGGAGATGTGCCAGTTGCATGGCACCAAGACCCTGGTGCATCCAATTCATGTAAAGCAAGTAACCACCTCGAGTAGCTAACGAGATAGGGATGGGCAAGCCCTGTAGCCTGTAGGCGGTATTGCAAGGAACAATTTTAACATACAAAAAATATCCTTATTCTGTGGAATGTTGGTCAGAGATAGATGTGAAGTATGATAATTATTCTTCAATGCTCACCCGATGGTGCCCAATTTGGTCGGATTACCTGATGGGTTCGGGCATGGGTCTAAACTTAGACCCAGGGGTAGGGTTGTGGGTTTGGGATGAACCCAATAGTGGGTTTGGGCATGTGTCTGGTTGAGGTCGACCTGACCAAACCCGACCCAATTGCCAGGTCACCTAGTACCAAAAATGGCCCCAGCCCAAGGTTGAAGATGACTGGCTCTGTTTACACAGTTCTCGACCACCTTATCCTACGTGATGCTTACCCGTGTGTTCTTCACTAGTTTGGCCCATGCGACCACGTTCATGACACGTTAGCAACTCTTGGGCCTTACCAAAAAATTCTGTACCACTGTCCAGGCGGGACTCATTTTCGTGCACCAGCAGTACATAAGTTGGGACGTCAACAAAGCCGCAAGCACTGTTGCAGGCAACATTTGCAACCCAGCGCTTCTGTTGGCTGGCGGGCTAGACATACCCCATCGCGATAAGCTGAATGCAATACCTCATTTTCCACTCCACCTTATCTTACACTATATTAATTTCGGCACACACACCGCACTCAAACTTGAAGGTCCAGGTACCGAGTTCATCTGTACTCCCGAGCCAAATCGCCTCCCCACATTAAAACCCTCATTTAAAATATTTTTGAGCTGGAACAAGAGAATTCATTTGTGAAATTAACTAGTATCGTTTGTCTTTTGTATGTTAGTTTTTGTGTCCATGTGTGTTGCTTATTTGTTTGCTTGTGCAAAACAGTATGTTGGTTTATGTATGTGTGCTAGAAAGTGGTGAAAGACTTAAGGTCCTAACTCCTAAGTACAGTTGACATGCACCATAGCGTTGCACGCTCTCATGAATCATAAAATGATTTTTTTCCTGTGAAATTTTAAATTTTAATGACCTCAGACTCTGAATTGTTGAAATATCATAATGAATCACAGTGGTAGATTCACCGATGAGTACTAGTACTATATTTGTATTCGCAGCAGGTGTGCTTTCTTTGTCATGTCATACTTATTTGTAATTTACTATTTCTGTTGCCATTTCTGTAGTCCAATAAGGCTAAGTGCTTCACATACTAGTTTGGTAACCGTCTGTGAAGCTCAAAAAGTTTCTCCAAATTCCGCCGAACCTAATTGACAAAATCAACAATAACATTTCATATCTTGGAGAGGAGTCAATATTTATAATGAACTTGTGGAAACGAGCTCATCAAACATCTCAAAGAAGTGCAATTAGAGAAATGGCATCACAAAGGATCTTAAATACTAAATCGTATAACAATCACTATTTATTTATAGGCATTGTACAAATAAATTCTGCACTATTTTCTTAGTATTACTTTTTCTTAGTATTACTTTGTGAATGACTTGTGCCACAGCTGTTTACACGTGCAACTTTTTCTTAGTATTACTTTGTGAATGAAATGCTCATATGCTTATCTGCAACAGCTTTCAAAGTTGATCTCCACTTTTGAGTTACATTTGGTGGTTACATTCTTTTCTTTACACTCTGATGACCCTGTTTCATTTTCCTTGGTAAATATAGCCAATTGTTGCTGTGCCTGCATTCCTTTGTGCCGATGCATTTCAGAAGGTGCTTCCTTTCTGTACTGGTTTTGCTGCAGGGTGCATGATATGGATTGTTATTGCAGAGGTTCTTCCTGATGCTTTTAAGGTGACTACCCTTTCGTCATCAAGAAATTGTTGACTGAAGTTGTTGTTTTCATTGGTTTTATAATGCAGTCCTGAGTATTTCTGTGTTACATGCAGGAAGCAACTCCATCTCAAGTAGCCTCTGCTGGAACACTTGCTGTTGCTTTTATGGAAACATTAAGTACCGTGCTTCAGGGATTCACGGATGGCCACGGGTAAGTTGCCTCTTATATTATTTAAGGATCTTACTTGGACTAGTACAACTTTCAACTGATGCTGTTGATTTGTTCTGATCTAGCTTGGAAGATACATCAGGCTTTTTGGTATCACTTGTATTTGGTCTTGGTCCACTTTTTGGAGGAATTATACTTGTCGCGTTCTCGCTTGCCTTCAACATGCCACACCCTCTTCTTACTGGTGTAGCATCTGGCATTGCCTTCCGTCTTGCTTCATGGAGGCCATTGCAACTTGTGATGTCCTTAAAGATGGGTCTCTTCACCACCTTGTTCCTCCTGCTAGGAGGTTCCGTCTTCTACCATCTCGTGGAAGCAAGCATCCTTATGGTTGCTAAACACAATAAATCATCCGTCAATGTCATTACATCTTCCAGCAGGCTCTCTCTTAGTGTCCTCACACAGCAATCGCTCCTTGCTTGCGGTTGCGTCTTCCTTCACGCCTACGCCGAAGGGCTTGCACTTGGTGTGGCGGCACGCAAGGCATCTGGTCTAGGCCGCTACATGGTTCTTCCAGTCTCTCTTCACGGCCTACCACGGGGTGCTGCTGTTGCTAGTTGTGTATATGGTGCCACTGATAGCTGGCGAGGAGCCTTGGCAGCTGCAGCTCTGACCGGGTTTGCGGGACCAAGCGCGGCCATCGGTGCAATCCTTGCGAAGATTGGCTATGATGGACTGGACTATTGGATGGTGATTGCATGCGGGGCTTTGATCCCAAGCTTTGGCCGTGTCTTCAGACGCTCGTTGCGGCTGGACGCGAGGAAGAGCGTCTGCGGGATCCTGATAGGTTTTGGTTTTGCTTGGGTGTGTTTGATGTCCACCAGATTCATCTGCTTGCACACCCCTTACTGCAATTCAGCTCCAGAAGCGGTCACATGATGTGTTCCTGTCAGATAGTCACATGTAACATCAATGTAACGATAATACTGAAATTATAAGAGGGACATCCTTGTATGAACAAAGTGATGAAAGGGAAACGAACATTAGACAGTGATTTTGCTAATCTTGCAAATTGTGCCACTACAACACAAAAGAAAAGACCGCCTGCTACTTTGGTGAATATTCATTTAGGTGTAATATCCCTTGGCCTCAATATGTTGGCTGAGCACGAGGAGAGAGCTGATTCGAAAGTCCTCTTGATGAACAATAAAAAAGTAATAAAAATATTTTTTTTCAAACTTTGACAAATGCTTTGAGTGCTTGCAAAGTTTTGTCGTTGAACATTCGTAAAGTTTCATCACGGAATGACATTCAAGAAAGTTCATGAATGTCATTTTATGATAGCTTTCCAAGCACTCAAAACTTTTTGATTCGTCACAGTTTAAGAGCAATTTTGAAAATTGTGCGGCGCATGATGAGTGGCAGCAAGCGTATTTTCTTTTCGAAGGCGTATCATTTTCTTCATTTCGACTTCTTCATTTCGACGAGCGGTCTAGAAAAAAATCACGAAAATGTGCTCGCTACTATTCGTTGTGCATCGCACAATTTTTAAAACCGCTCTTAAACTATGACAAATCTCGAAAAGTTTTCAACATGACGAAGTTGTGCCTATTCCATAGCTTTCCATCACACGTCTCATTCCGACAAACGGTTTAAAAACTGGATCAAAAACAGTACCGGAAGAAAGGCACGCACATTTTTTTGCGACGAGAAGTTCATTCGTCTCAGTACTGCAGTACTCTTGCTTCAACAATGTCGTGCACTTGCGTTGAACATGCAGTACAAAAGTGTATGAAATAACTATTCTGTTAATATTACCAGAATATGACAAATATTTCTTACCATCAGTGGTAGTTACCACCACTCGCGTTTTCTATATTGTATGTGTTATGTATCAAAATTAAGAGTATGTACGTGTAATATGTATTACATCCGTCCTATAATATAAGAATGTTTTTAAGCTATGTCAGCTTGAAAAACGTTATTATATTATGGGAGTATATAATAACGTTTAGGTAGTATACACCATATTTTGAACACACTCTTTTTACGTACAAATATGTACATATTTCACAAATATAACAAAATTATGGACTTATATGCAATTTTTTCGTATAACTTGCTTTAAAATATCTTAGATATAGTATATAAATATATGTAGAGTGATAAAGTAATACATATATTACTACAAGATAGTATATAAGACATGTGAGGTAACTACCATTGGGTGACAGGATGTATTTTTTTCCGGAAAGTCTATTCATCATCCATGGTGCAGAATAAATTATTCTTCACCCGAAGTAATCTTATGATCATTTCATAAATAAATTACATTTGAAATACAAATAGTTACATTCATATTAATTCACTGCGTAAAATTTGACAAAAAAATAGGTCATAAGACCAGAAAAATTGCATTTTATGTACACTTTACATTATGTTTTTACATCTGTAATTTAATGTAACATAAAATATTTTTTACGATGATTATATATTTTCTTACGTTTTCTTTCTATGTCTCAAATAAGATAAAACTTATCGAACACAAAATTACGATGCATTGATGTTAAAATAGGTGGGGATGAAGAATAGTTTTCCATTCCATAATGTAGTATATAGTAATACTATTCATCACCCAGGTTACAGAATAAGTTATTCTTTACCCGAGGTAATCTTACGATCACTTCATAAAAATTACGTTTGAAATACAAATAGTTACATTCATATTGATTCACTACGTAAAATTTGGTATAAGAACATAAAAAATAGGTTATAAGACCAGAAATATCGCATTTTATGTATGTTTTTATGTTCGTAATTTTACGTAACATAAAATATTTTTTACAGCGAGTATATATTTTCTTACGTTCTCTTTTTACGTATGAAATAAGATAAAATTTACAAAACCTAAAATTATGGTGCATTGACATCAAAACAAAGAGGGGGTGAAGAATAACTATTCCTCAGTCATGGTGACGAAATATGATAATTTTTTCTACTACCGGGTGTAGTTACTCTCTCTTTTGTTTCGTACGTTTTAGGTAGTATCTATCATATCGGAGTGTATGTATGTGTAGTATGTAGTATATAAGAATGTTTAGGTAGTATATATACTACTTTTTTAGTAGTATGTACCATATTTTGGGCATACTCTATTTTACGTACAAATATATACGTATTTCACAATGCAATAAAAACTATGGACTCACTTGCAATTTTTTTCCATATAACTCACTTTGAAGTATCTTAGATATAGTATATGAACATATATTAAAAATAATAAAGTAGTGTATATACTATCGTATGGTACTATATGAGACATGTGTGTAACTACATCCAGTAGTAGGATGCATATAATATGGGCGTCGTATCACGTGAATCTATCCATCTTCGTGAATCTGTTCATCCCCTCATCGCCAATCGTTTGATCAAGATCTTGTGCCTGCTGTAGTTCAGCCTCTTTTTGCACAAAAACGCCCGCCTCCAGCCACGTTTGCCCTGTCAATTTTGCAAAATAAACCCTAGTGAGGGCAGCTCTCCTAGTTCACCACTCCTCAATCGTTTTTTCAATCTTAGAGCAAGCCCGCGACCTGTATTCCAATGACGGCCACGGCGGCATGCATCTGCCTGATGAATCACGGCCACGGGTAATCGCCACGACGACCACGAACAAATCCATCTCCCAACTCCCAATCAGCATGGTGGACAAGTCCTCCTTGCTGGATATAGCGCAACCAACTATCATATATATATTTGCTACCACCGGTGGTAGTTACCACCACTTGAGTTTTGTATGTTGTATGTAGTATTTATCAAAATGGAGAGTATATACGCATAGTATGTAGTATATAACAATGTTTAGGTATCATATACTATTTTTAGGTAGTATGTATCATATTTTAATTATGCTTTTTTTACATACAAATATGTACGTATTTCACAAATATAATAAAAAGCTAGTGCCAACTTATAATTTTTTCACAAATATGTACGATTGCCATGCACCCCTCCATGCAAAACAGCCAACCTATTTTCCTTTTATATGCTCCCTCGTAAATGAAGTTGTGCACATAGTAAAGGTTCCATGAAAAAAGATCATTAGGTCGTTGCTTCTACTAAATGCTTTACTACACAAGTTGAAATAATGCCTTTACTATATAGAGTGCATGTTGTTACTACACAAATGGATGAGGTTACTACCAACTAGCATGGATCTAGGAATCATAAACCATACAACTAGATTACTATTGGTGGATGTCGAATTACGTTTCATCTGAAGCGACCTGAGATGGCTAGTAATACTTTTACTACAAAGAGTGCATGCTATTACCACACACATGCATGCTCTTACCACACAAAGACAAAATTTTACTATTATGGCTCGATTACTGGTACTGTATATAGGAATAGTATCATGGACGCTGACCTATATATAAAACACTATTCTGATCACAACATGAACTTTCCGAGTAACGCGCCTGACCTTTCCCGAGTACTAGGTTGAACTTCAGCTAAAAGGTGTTCAAATGGGGCTTGCGATATACCGTTGGAAAGCTATGGACACCAGTATCATGACCCAAGTTAAATTTTTGGCAAAATGTAAGCGGTTTAAGAGCAGTTTTGAAAACCGTTTTTCTTCATACAAAAAATATAAATCGTATTTTCGACCGTATTTCTAAACCGTTTATCGGAATGAGGTAAATAATACAGCGTTGGAAAGCTGCTGCAAAACCGCTCCTTCGACATGTTGAACGTTTTCTCTAATTCCCTATGCATAAAGAGTAACTTAGAAAATCGTAAAATTTCGCAAACCGAATAGTCGAGTTCGTATTTTCAATATAATTTCTAAACGACTAATCCAATTGAGGCAAATGATATGGCGTTGGAAAGCTTGTGAAAATGCGCTACTTTTTCATGCTGAAAGTTTCTTCTAATTTTGAATGATTTAAAAGTAATTTAGAAAACGGTACAAGTTTCACCGAGTTTGTATTTTCAAGCTAATTATTTAACCGTACGTCCGAATGCAACAAATGATACGGCGTTGGAAAGCTTGAGGAAATGCGAAACGTTTTTGTATATATTGTTTCTCTCAATTCTTTATTGTTTTAAGTCAATTTTGAAAATGGCTAAAAACATATTTTTGCCATAATTTCTACAAACTTTATCGAAATGGGGCAAATAATATAACGCTGAAAAGCAATGGAAAATGCGAATTTTTTTCATGTTGATGGTTTTCTCTGATTCCTAGCCGTTTTTAAGTAATTTCAAAAATAGTGAGATCATGCGTTCTGCCTTTATCCCGAAACGAATTCTTCGAAAATGCACCGTGTGAAGAACTTGAACTTCTCGGCATGTCTTCCTGAACTTCACTCTGTTTTTCACGTGTTTTTTTTTGCTCGTAGATCTCCATCCACTGCTCGTAGCTCTCCATCCACTGACCATAATTGAGCAAGTGATATATCGATGGAAAGCTGCTATAAACACGCAACTTTCCCATGTTGATCATTTTTTCATACTCGTGACGGTTTTAAAAGTTTTTCATCTGAAATTCATTCAGTGTAGTAGTTGAACTTCTTCTGTTTTCACGTTGAACTTGTGTGACGTATTTTTGTTTGTAATTTTTCTCATCCATTCGTCAGTGTTACACAAATGATATTTCTTTTGTACAAACCTCTCTGACAATAATCTTTTTAACTTTCTCCGACCGAGGACTTGAAATTATATAACAAGAAAAAATTTGGGCATTGCCTTTTAATTCATTTTTCTCATATTAAACACACACCATGTAGTACATGAACTTTTTCCATTTTTATAATTTAAATTTTTATTTTCTTTTTGAAATGAAATTGCTCCCAAATAATAACTGAACTTCTTTGCGGATTGTGAGAATTATTTTAAAACGCAAAAATATAATTTCTTTTTTATGTTTTTGAACATGG